TCTTGCTCTCTTTGCTGCAACAAAGAAAGAAAATAGATTGCACTGACTAACAGCACCGACCGAGACATACTTTATGTCCCTTAACACTGTCCCTTGGCGCCATTCTTAACAAATACAGTGTTTTTGTTAGCCATGGTCGTGGTGCATGCTCGTGTAATTTTGTCGAGTTCTGTCTTAAGATTCTGGCGGGCTTTCTGTTGAGTCTTTCAGAGATTTTCAACGGACTCGAAATTTTGAATCGTGAGTTCCATCATAAATTTTATTACATTTGAAACGACTGAAATGAGCTGTTCAAATGTAATAAATTTTTGTTATAAATGTGCTACTTTTGATAGACAGACAGACCAAAAAGTAGCACATCTATAATAACGGGAATCACCCAATGTCATTCAATTTTTTTTTCCCTCCAGAAAAAATAAAAAAGTTGCAATTCCGTCCAGTTGCATTTTCTTCCTGGCGTAGATGCCGTTAATTAAGGATCACATCACATCACATCAAAGATCTCATAGCAACACTCAACTTCAATCTTTCTCTAATCCTTCTCTAACCAAACAAAAATCCAAGTCCAAGACCATGCCCTACCGTAGGTAACTCYCCAGCCAGCCAGCCAGCCAGCCAGCCAGCCAAGCGCTCGCCCGCAAGGACACACCAAACGATCGATCGATCGATCAATCGATCGATCCAATTCATCGATTGTTCTCCCTCCGGCATGGCGGGTGGAGACGAGCTCGCCGCCCGGGCGGAAGGGGCGGCCCGCGAAGCGGTCTCGGAATGGATCCGGGGGGCCCTGCGGGAGGCCTTCCTGCAGGCCCTCCGGCGGGTCTGGACCCTCCGTCCGGTCGACGATGGCTCCGCCGCAGCTGCGGTAGAGGTCTCCGCCCCCGGGTTCGAAACCTGCCTCGGCCTGGTCGAGAGGGTGGCGGGGAAGTGGAGGGACAAGCTGGAGGCGGAGGGCCACCACAACGCGGGAGGGTGGGTCTGGGAGGTCTTCGAGCGGGGGAAACAAACGCTCTGGGAAGGATCGGTCGGCGGGGAGGAAACCAGCGGCGAGACGCATGCAGAGCCCCTTTCCCGTGGCGGCTACGGGGATCTCCGGGACGACGACGACGGCAGCAACGACGACGGCAGCAACGACGACGGCAGCAACGACGACGGCAGCAACGACGAACCGGCGGCTCCCCCCGGGGGGCCCGCAAGCGACCGGTGCCACCACCCGGGAGTCTACGCGAGCCTCCGATCCCTGGGGCGCAAGCGCAGGCTGGACTACTCGGTCCTCTCCGTTCCGGACGCCCTCGGGGCCGTCGAGGGCTTTGCCAGGGACCACCCCACCTACTGGCCGGCCGGCCACTGGGGGGCCGTCGAAACCGCCTCCCTCGAACTGGCGGACCGGATGGAGGCGAGGGACCGCCACGGGTCCGGCCACGCCGCCCGGAACGGGGGGGGAGACGGGGCCGTGTACACCAAAAAGGCGGTCCGCTTCCAGGTCCTGCCCAAAACCGTCTGGGAAACCAAGCAGCGCAAGCAGCAGCAGCACCAACAACAACGACAACGACAAGAGCATGGACAGCAACAGCAAGAGAACGACGGCGAAGGGGCCGGCGCCACGGCAGCGGACCGGGGGGGGGCCTCCCTGGCCGCGAGGATCGTTCTGGCCCACCGAAGCCAGAAGGCCGGGCGCCGGAGGGCCGGCGGAGGTCCCCGCACCGAAAAGGGACGACAGCCGCACGGGGTGGAGGATCCCCCCCGGCCCCCGTCCGATGCGACGCTGCCGGTTCCCGGTGGACTCCTCCCCGTCGTCCTGACCCCGGAAGAAATCCGGCGGCTCGAGGGGCTGCTGGTGAATGTCGGCGATGGCGTCGGACCGAAATCCACCGCGGCGGCTCCGAGGGAGGACAACGAGAACAACACCTGCCTGGGGCTCTTTGGTGGACTGGAGTGCGTCGGGCAGACCACCCACGCGATCAAGAACCGGGACACCGGTGTCCCGAGCGACAACAACGCCGGCGTGGTCTTTATGGACCCGAAAAACACCACCGATAGGGCCCGGCGCCGCCGGGAGCGGACCTCGATCCAGGAACGCCTGGACCCGAACCGCGTCCGGGCGGGCAGGGAGGAGAACCCGTGGGACCGGAGGTCCAAGGTCCTCAGGACGGAGGACTGGTTCGACGCCCGGAAGAAGTTCCTCGACCTCGATCTGGGGTGGTGCCTCCTGGAACTCCCAACGCCGGAACGGGGAGGCCGGAAACGCCTCTGCGCCTTTTCGAGCATGGAGGCCTGCCTGGGAGACCACGACTAGCAAACGCGAAAACAAAAGAAAAAACGCACCGTCTCGCCACGGACTATCCTCGCCGCGCAACAACACGCGGGCGGTACAACGCGGCAAACTCGTTCGGCAATCTCGACCTCCGTCGTCGACCACACTACGCATCTGCTACTGACGCTACAGCGGTGTGATGGGACTCTCCTGCATGCCACAATGCTTCACGCAATGTGATCGCATAGTCCCAAAATTGGGCATCACTCCCAAACACATCTCTCTAAAATCCATCGAGTGCTCAATAATACAAGTAGTGAATAGGAAACCATAATCTTAATTCGATAGCTGTTCGACTGTCCCCCATTTTCATCGGGAGGAAAGAGACACTTGCGTTGGCATTGCTATGCCTCTTCGTCGCCTGCAGCAATATCTTCCTATTCTGATGGTTCGACCGCATTTTCTGGTACCTCCTGCTCCTCTTGGACCACTGGTTCGGACTCCTCGCTTTCGGCTGAGGGCTCTTTTTCGTTTTCTTCGTCGTCGTCGTTTTGGTCTTTTTCTTCGTCCTCGGCAGTCTCTTTGCACTCATCTTCGTCCGGACACTCCTTCTTTTCTTCTTCGCACGCACCTCCTTCGCTTGGTTCGACGTTCTCTTCGCCTTCCTCTTCGTCGAGAGGTTCTTCCTCCTCGCTAGCGGGTGCCTCTTCTTCCTTGGCCAAGAGCTCCCTCTCGGCATCGGTGAGATTCAGTTCTTCCAGCTCGGAATTTATTTGATCCAGACTCGTTTGGTGTTCTTCGGCCTTCTCGAAATCTTCAATCTCAGCGGCAGCTTCCACCTGCTGTTCCAATTCAGACTGTTTTGTCGTCAGCTCCCTTGCTTTTGCAACTCGCTCCTCGGTTGTGAGTCCGCATTCCTCCTCTTCTTTGGCAGGCGGATCGGGGCCAAGGAGAGTTTCTTCCTGGGCCAACAGCTCGCATTCTTCATCCGTGATGTTCATTTCTTCGATTTCACTATTGATCTTATCGACCTCCTCTTGCAGTTCGCCAGCTGCCTCGTAATCATCTCTGTCGGCAGCTTCCTGTACCATTTCCTCTAGTTTGGCGGATTTCGCAATCAACTCTTTCGCTTTTGCCAACCGCGCTTGCAATTCTTCCTCTGACAGTTTGGAACCAACCATTTCCTTCGCAGTTTCGCTCGTTCCACCGTTTGCCTCCGACTCGTTGCTGTCGACGCCACCGGGTGCATCCTCGAGACCGATCGACGTGACTAGATCTCCCCATCCACCGTATTTGCTTCCTAGTTCGCTTCCTTCTGCCATGAGCATCTTGATCTGACTCTCGAGCAACCTGGCACCGACACACTTGACACTGTTTCCTTCCGAAGACGCATCCCCGCATCTTTCTTTCTTTTCTTTCGTGAGTTGCTCAATCTTTTTCGATAGGGTCGCCATTCGTTTCTCACCAGACAGCTTTTCTTCGGCATCGGCAATCTTCTTCGCTTCCAACAAATCCAAATCAAGTTGGCGGAGCGTTTCCTCCGCAGCCGATTTCTTCGCCTTGGCATCTCCGTTCAATTCCTGTTCGCATTCCTGGATTCGGGACGTGGCGTCCTTGATTTCCTTGGAAAATTTTCCCGCGGATTTGAAATCCCTCGCCGCGGCAGCTGCCTTTTTCTGCGTCTCCAATTCCGGGATTCTGGCGGCGAGACCGTCGCGTTCGGTTTCTAGGTTCTGGATTGCCGAGGTGGTCGCCTTGAGAGACTTTTTGGCAGCATCAACCGCACCCTCGCATTTGACAACATTGGCTTTGAGCTGAGCAAGGGATCCTTCGTTGCTACTGTCTTTCTCTTCTGCCTCACTCTCTTCCTCCATGAACCCGAGTTGTGCGGGCGTGAATTCGCTGAATTCTCTCGACAACTTCAACTCCGATTCAAGTGTATTCAAAAGTTCTTCGTGGACAAGGAGCGCATTCGAGTGCGACTCGACCTGGAGGTCGTGTGCCTCCTTCTGCTTTGTGTATTGGTCGTTCTCGATTTCCCATTCTCGTCGGTTTTGTTTTACAGTCATTTCCTTGTTGTTTACGCGGTTTAGTTGCCGCGCAAATTTTACCCTCACCTTAGCAATGGAGTCCTCAAACCCGAACATCTTGGTCCTCAGATTCGCGGCTTCTTTTTGCTTGCTTTCAACTAGTTTTCGAAGTTCCTCGATTTCTTCTTCTACCTCTTTTAGTTTCGTACCGGCTTCTTCTTTTTCTGTTTCGATTTCCCCGGTCTGTTCATTGATCGAGCCTTCCAATTCTTTCCTCTCCTCGGCCACGAGTTTTTCGTCTCGTTCTAGGTGTTTCAAATCCTGTTGCAGGCGCTCGTGTTCGTCCGACAGTTGCTTCGATATGGCTGCGTACTGCGTGAGCGTTTCGTTGTCGTCCTGTTTCTCGTTGGCAAGTTCTTTGTTCTTCAATTCCTCGAGCCTCGAAGCCAGATCTTGGAAGCAAGACGAAATGATTCCACCAAGCGATGTCTTTTCGGCTTCGAGTCTTTCCAGGGCAAGTTCGTTGCTTTTTAGCATATTGGCTACCTCGCTTTTTTCTCGCTGGTGTGCATCCAACATTTGTCCGAGTTCGTCCGCTTGCTCGTAGTCTTCTTCTTCGATCGCAACTTGTTGTAGTTCTTCTATTTGCTCAAGCTCTCGCGTGGCGAATCGATCCTTGGCCAGGGCGACGAACCGTTCTTCCAGCAAACCCTTCTTCGTGTTTCGTGCGTCTTCCACTTTCTTCATTGCCGTGTCGACCGCTTGCGAAAAATATTCTTGGTACCCTTCGAATATATCCTTTGGCGTGTTGCTCGTTCTCTTCTTTGGTTGTGCAGGTGCTGGTGCAGCACCGACCTTGATTCCGCCATAGTTGGGAGCAGCCGCCGGCTTGAAGCTAGTTGTTGCGCTTGGTTTGAACGGAGACGGAATCGTTGCCGGGACAAAGGAAGAGATCCCGGATGCACTTGAGGGAGTTGCAGGCGTAAACTTAATTGGTTCTGCTGGTGTTGCGACCTCCTCTGGCTTGGTTGAGACCACACTAGTGGCCACACTAGTGGTAACAACCACCTCGTCGTCATCTTGGTCCTCCTCTTTGATGGTTTTTGAAACGGCGTCTTGTTGCTGCTGCAAAAGTTGTCGCTGCGCGATGGCTTGTTTCGCGACCTCTTGCTCCTTCGCCAACCGGTCCATCCCGCTCGCACTCCCGTTCGAGCTAGAACCCACCGAGTGTTTGCTGCTGTTTGCCATCGGAGCACTTCCGACCGTGCTGGGACTAGCCCTGAATCCCTTGAAGAAGGTTCCCATGAACCCACCGCTGCTCTTTCCTGTTTGCTGGTACTGCAGAATCTTGGCCTTTTCGGCTGCCTCCTGCGCGGCGGCCAAAATCTCGTCGGTGCTTGCACTGGGCTCGAGACCGAGGTTCTGTACACTTTCTGTCGTCGTGGCGGCGGGTGGTGGTTTCCTTTCCGCCGACTTGGCCGCTTCCATGGCCTTGGATTGCATGAATGCTTCGGCCTTTTTCGTCGCTTCCAGAGCTTCGTCCCTCGCGGATTTGACTTCGGTCGCTGGCGGGGCCGGAGCCGGGGTCGGAACGGGAGCATCAGCGGTTGTTGTCGCGTCGCTTTGGCTTGCACCGATTCCTATTTTCTGGGAACGGAGTTTCTTCTTTTTGATTCTGGGTTTGGAGCTGCTGGTTCCAAAGGTAATGCCTGCTCCGGCTATTCCACCTGCGGTGGTCATTGCCGGAACAGCCGGTGAAGGTGTCGGGGCAGAAGACAAAGAGGGAGTGCTGAGAGCCGAAGAGATAGAATTGTGGCTGTTGGTACGGGTGTGAATGGCCGTCGGCAAGTCTGGTTGCTGCGGGTCCGTTCCCTCCGACGCCGTGGGGGGAGCCGCCGTGTCGGACAGAAAGGAAAACCCGCTAACGACGGGCGGAGCCGCCGGCGCCTCCTCGGCGATGGTGGGGATGATCGTGTCTCCGACCGCCCCGGCCGGGGGAGCCATCGTCTCCGCAGGAGCTGCCATGGAATTCATAAAATCAAAGCCCGACGAGGCCGTTGCCGTTGCCGTTGTCGTTGTTGTTGCCGTTGTCGTTGCCATTCCCATTGCCGGGCTGGCCGGGGGAACCTCCGAGGGGCTTTCCACGACCGGGGGTTCGGCTTTCGGGGTTGTCGGTTCCGATGCCATGAACGAGAATCCGCTCGCGGCGGGGGCAGCAGCCGGTGCGGCGTTCGCCGGTGACATCGGTGTTGGTTCCGGAGCGGCAGGCGAAGCATTCATAAAGGAAAAGGAAGAGCCGGCTGCGGCACCGGGTGGGGACGACTGCGGTTTTTCTGGAGCGACGGCAGGGGCCGAGTTCATAAAGGAAAAGGAAGACACCGGTGCCGCCGGAGCCGGGCCGGGGGCAGCCGGGCCGGCATTCATGAACCCAAAGGAACTCACGGCCGGTGGCTGTTCACCGGCTTCGGGGCCCTTGGTGTCGGGGGTGTTGTCCGGGGCATCGCCGGCATCCGGCGACGACGCGCCTTTGATTTCCAAACCACCGAACATCGTTCGCCTGTTCTAGAACGGCAAGCTGCGGTGATTCTGTCTCGAAGTCCACTCGGAGGTGGTGTCAAAATGGATTTGAGGGAGGTTGTCCGTGCTGGTTTTGGGAGCAGCTCGGCAACTGTAGGTTACTCCTTGTTTGCTCCGGTGTGGTGCTCCAAGATGCAAGCTGTTACAAAAGCCGTAGAGCTGGAAAGATCCGTCGTCGATCGAGAAGAGGAGAGGAGAGGAGAGGAGAGGAGAGGAGATCTCTCTCGAAGACTTTTTCATCACGAAACCAAGCATAACCGTTGCTATCATGGTTGGGATTGCATGCGCGCGCATGAAATGAGGGATCGAAGCACAAAAGCCAAAGAGAAGGAAGTAGTGACTGAACACGTGACTGAACTCCGCGTCACAAAACGTCTTACAGTGAGGTAATACTATACATACATACAAATCATATCTTAGTACCGATCAATGGTTGGTAGGCATCATCGCAAAAAAACAGCGATACATGAAGGACAGAACAGCAACGTACGCAGTCACAACCAGGGGTCATAATATAGCCCCTGGTCACAACGAAGGTCAACGCTTCCCGAACAAAAGTATTTCTGTTCACCATTTTTGTGAAGCGCCTTCGGGTCTGAACCACTTGTGATGAAATTAGATTCCCACCCATTGCTTACTTAATGTTACTTCGATTTTCGGAATGTGATGGCGGATTTTTATTTTTAACAGGACCTTAAGGATTGTCATCATATTATCGATAACAAACCGATTTTTGTAGAAGATTTGCTCCCAAATTCTATGTATGGACGACGGTATCGAAACGTTGTACTTCGATCCCTGTTCCACTCAAAATATCACATGAACCCGGACGAATTCTTCTCGAACTTCTTGGTCACATGTTGTGATTACTCCTTACTGTACCGTAGGAGAAAAGGCAATGAATGAGTTAGCACCGAGGCAGCAAAGATCAATAATCATCTCGTCTCCCTGAACTACAGCAGCGTACAGCACACGTAATTTTTCGCAACAATTTTTTAGCGGCGGCGCGACGGAGGACGTGCAACAACAATACGTGTACTCTTTGCTCCGAAAAAACCTCAATCTGGATCCTGGAGTGCGCCGGCTCGCCATCTTTCTGATCTCGACATCACACGATCGAAACCAAACCAAAGCTGCTGCGCCGCTTTCCTTCTTTGAGTTGGTTCAGACTACCGGAAACAAATCATCCTAGTCGAGATGCGCAGGTCTCGTTCCGCGGCGAACACTCGCTACCACGACCGTGACAGGAGAACAAGCACTCGGAGCAGCAGTCGCTACGACGACGAGAGCGACAACAGCACTTTTTTCTATTTCGACAGCGACAGCGACAGCGATGGATTGAGCAGCTACAGAGGCAGCAGCAGAAAACATACCGGCATCGATGATTGGATGTACGGCAGCCACAGCGACGATTCCTACCCCGACACTAGGCGTGGGGCGCGCAAGGAATCGTACCGGGACCGATCTAGATCGAAGAGGTCCCATTTGGTTATTGATTCCGAGAGCGACGATTCAAGCTTCTACGAAATCGAACACCGAGGACCAAGAAGGAATCGCAGCAACCACAGTCTCCGAACAGCCATGATACGAAACGGAGACCGAACCTTTTCCGAGTCGGAATGTGGTAGTGACAGCGACTCGAACGGCCCCCACAACTTTTCGTCGAGGATCGAACGAATAAAGAGCCGTTCCCGCCAATCCTTCAGCTCGGACGACGATTCTAGGAGCGGTTCTAGGTCGTCTCGCCGCCGAAACCGGAAACCTCCGGAAGGAATGCGACGAGCGAGATCGGATCCAAACCTGGTGCAGTCGGTCCAGCGACCCGGGGACCAGCAGCCACAATTGACCAACCCAGTGGTTGTGAGCGCTCAGAACCAGCAAATGGGAATCCAGACTGGAAACGATCCTGGGTTGTTGAGATCTAGTTCCTTTAAAAGCACAGGTAATTTTGGCCAAAACTTCCTCCCCAATCAACAAAATTCGATGTCGAGGTTGATGATGAACGCCAATTTTTCTAACCAAGGAAATGGCAACCCGATTGCCGGGGATGGACTAAGAAGGAATCTGTCCAGTAACAATATCATGGGAAATACGAATCCGCGAATGCCATTAGGACCTGGAAATATGGTGAGATCCACATCGGGACAATCATTCCACACTTTCGCATCGGGTCAAGACCAATTTACGCGGTCAGGCCATGGCGCCCTTGCACACATGAATCATCAGGCAAGACCTCACATGACGAAATGGAAATCACAAAACAGTCTTGGAAACAACGATGCAATGCTCGGTAATGCGATGTCACCGATGGGATCAGGATTGGTACACGGTGCTTCTCTCAGAAGTTTTGCAAACCGTGACGCAATGCTCGACAACCCGATGCAACAGCAGGCATCGAGGCTGATGAGGAACTCCCTCAATCAGAACACATGCAACAACGATGTATTGAGTCGCTCGATGCATTCGGATCGATCGGGGATGGTGCGAGTGACTTCCCCTTCGAGTCTGGGCAACAACAATCCGCTGCTCAATCATAACTCGATGCACTCTCATCGACAAGGATTGATGGGAGACACACAATCATCACAAAGAAGCATTCGGAGTAAAAACGGATTTCTCCATGGTTTGATACATTGCGATCCAAAAACTGCGATAGACGGGTGTCAGCAATCATGTAGAACGAGCAATACGCAATGGGAAGCGGAAACAAACAACTCCGACTCGGTCTTTGGAGATTCAATATCTGTGCTGTCAGGCGCGTCCGGGGACGGTTCGGCAACATCGCCAGTCAGTGTACCCTCACAGAGTCTCGCAGACCAAATTTTTTCTCGCCAAATGTATTCTCGAAGTCGGCGTGGAGATACATATTCTGTTGTCAGCAACGGAGATCCTCCAGGAATGGACATGAACCGTTCAAGAAAGTATAGAAACAACGGGTTTTCAGATGAACATTCGCAGTGCACGTTCGATGACGAGCAAGAGAGTTTCATAGCCCCCGATGACCCTCCAGATATGTTCGATCGAGATCAAATCGACAACGACCCCAGTGTAGATGAACCAGATTCTTGCCATGAAAGTGAGGAATCAGAATCATTCCGAGAAAGTGACGAATCAGAAACATACCATGAAAGTGAAGAATCAGAAACATACTATGAAAGTGATGAATCAGAATCAGACCAAGAAAGTGACGAATCTTCTTCTGAATCGGACTTTGATCGACCGATTTTGTATAATGATGGCAACCCATCTAGCAACAGTAGCTTCGATGAGGACCGTAGGTACAGCTTTGAGATCATTCTCTCCCGCAAATCTCTAGGAGGCTCCCGTTCTGAAAACTCTGTGAAGTTTGGCCGCAGTATCAGAGGACAAGTAACGGCATCAAATTGTGAAAGGTCGCATTCGAAATTCTCTTCTGATCTTGCGTTCGAATACGACCAAGAAATAAATCCTCCACAAAGAAGTTCTTCTTCCAAGAGATTCAAACGAGTACAAGATTTCGAAAATATTGGTTATAGCGACAGTGTAGAAGACAGTGAAGAATGCAGTGATGAAGATAGCGAAGAAGACAGTGTCGATGACAGTGAAGAAGATAGTGTTGAAGATAGTGAAGAAGACTGTGTCGAAGACAGTGAAGAAGACAGCGTAACTACAACTTCACAACAAAAACCTGTGAGCTGGTTAGCGCGGCAGATTTCAAATCGAAAATTGATTGAGGGGACTTCTTCGTCGCGCTCAATAGAACCAAAAGGTTTGAACATCACAAGCCATTGCGATGGTGTTTCTCCAAGAGATTCTGGCTTTCATTATGATAGCGACATTGATGAATACATGCTTACATCGAAAACTTCCAGTGATTATGGCAACGTTTTGAGTGCTGCAGAAACGAGAAGGAAAGTAACGAGTGAAGATGAGGAAACATTTGAGGAGAACAGTAACCTTGAGCCATTAACCGAATATTTTGCCAAGTCTAAAATAAGGAAAAACGGGACATCTTCTCTTGGAAAAATTCAAACTCTCGGTTTCGATGATCGTACTCTTACAACCGATACGATGTCACAAGAGATCCCCTCAGTGATAATTAGTAAGATAGCCGCTTCAGATAATTCATTCAAAGACTCCGAATCGGTACTTTCCTCGTCAACAAGTGAGACGCGAACAAAAAGCTCAAGAAAGAAAAGTAAGAAGAAGCTTTCGAAGGTGGAAACCGGTACGCATGAAGGTCGCAAGAAGAAGATGCCTTCAAAGAAATCATCAAACAAGAAGAAAGAGCGACCAAGTACGTCTKGCAGTACAAAAAAGGCTCTGAAAAAAGAAAAATCGAAGAAAAAGAAAGATCGAAAAAAATCTGATGATAAAAAGAAGATCCGCAGTGAGGACACCTCTCCAAAAGCGAAGACTACTGACATCGAACTTTGTACAAAGAAAAAGAAATCGAAACCGAAAAAGAAGAAGAAGAAGGGCTCTAAAAAAGAGGTAAGAAAATCGAAATCCCATAAAAAGAAGAGTGTTTCGAAAGCCAACAGTGATAAAGATTCCAAGACGAAAAAGAAGGACAAATTTCGTTCTTCATCCTCGAGGAAGCCAAAAGATCTGGACGAACCAGGTAGGATCAATGCAACAAAGGAGGGGAAATCGAATAGAATTTCTTTAAAGACGTCAAGTAAACGGGAGCAAAGGCTTCTCCAAAAGGCAACAGCAAGAAATTATGATGACAAGTTAAGCTTTGATGACAACAGTGTGTTCAGTCTTTTGGACAAACTAAGAGCCTGTGAAAATGATTGTTAAGAAATAAAGGTGAGGAATTATTGTACTAATTAATTTTGTTAGAAGTAGTAGTTTATTTGCTGCATTGCATTACTACCATATCTAGTACTTACAACTTGTAATCAGTACTATGCATGGAACAATTACACAAAAGAAAAAGTAATACTTATAGTAGTAGCACCTTATCTTCTATCATTAATAACTGATGGATGCGCTACCATTCATAGTCTTTCAATATTACTATCAAGTAGAACCTAATTGCACAGATCAATTATAGTATTTTTTAATTCTTCCTTGTTACTAGCTAGTAGTACTTACTATACTAGTACTAGCTTCCTGTCTAATAACAGGATTCCTTGCTCTGCACTGCATTATTTCTTCACTGGTGTTTGCTTCTTTACCTGCCCTACTTTTTTTGTCAAACTAGTAGATCAAGGGTCCTCATTTGGGATTTCTTCCACTGCAAAGCACAGAATTCTGTTTGTATTTTCTTGTTTGTTAGGATATGTTAGGAGAAATAAAGTTGTGCCACATTACCACAAATTGTTCATTGACAAAGTATCAGACAATAATTGCCCTCCTAGTACTACTGTTGGTGGCAACAAAAAGAGTGCACTACTACTATTACTAGAAGAATCAAGAGCAGACATACACTCTGATGTTTGTATGAAAGTAAAATCTTTTGGCAAGAAAATTCCTTCCTCGTTGCCACACCAACACTCATACAAGTTTTTCCTTGTACTCATACGTATGTATGATCATATGATTGATAGTTAGCAATACTTTGGTGCAACCTTTAACTCATAGTAATCGAAACCTACTACTGCTACTACTACTACTTCACCTATTCACAGAGGATACAGAAGCATTCTTATCAACTGCACCTACTTCCATGCTAACATATTATCATCAAGTCTACAAGAAGACAATTCTGGCAAGTGTCAATCAAGCCTCGAGTGCTTTGGCCTCCAACACTCGCCCTATTAGTACCCACTACTTTACACCAATGACTCATAGTAAACAACCACCGGAGAGTGTCACACAAGATTCACTGGTCTTTGACGCCTACTCCAAAAAGAAGTGACACAAACAACCTGTCGTGCCAGATACTTCTTTGGCTCCTCATGTCAATTCTTCCAGTTTACTTCAAACCAAGCTCAGTCAATTCTTTTAATTCCAGTGAAACAAACCCCTGGTCGCAATTACACCAAAACCCCTTGGAGGGAAGTGCCACCCCTGGGAGCAGCTAGAACAATTCTTTCTAACAAAAGCTATGGTTCTGGCCATATACTAGCACCTCTTCTGGCTCACAAGGTTAAAAATAATGTTAAGATTTTTTTTAACTTACTAGTATTTGCTGCTAATTGTTGAGGACCCTGTTGGTTGCCGTATTGTCGTATTGGGCTAAAGTGCCTCTTTCTTCTGATTAATCTGTCTTGTTCTTTTCAACTAACCTCAGCACCCCATCATGCAGATGACCATGGGATTCATTCTGAGAACATACCATTGCCATTGAGTGATATTCCTTGACCTACTTTGAAGTACCCTGCAACAAGATCCACCTTCTCATAGGGAACCTCATTGGTAGTGGCAGCAGGTATCTTCATGAAGGTGGATAGGATTTGGTTGTGTCCTATGGTACTGCACTGGAAGTTGTACAAGTTGATGAGGAGGTTCATGATGATCCTTAAATCTCCAAGCTCTTCCAGCAAGCACATTGGTTCTTTAATCCTTGGGAACTGTCCCTGGATCATCCTCATCCCCCATTCTGACATCTGTCTCATTGACGTGACATCCCTGTTCAACAAGAGGAGGTTACTGTTGTCAGGATCCCTCTGTGAGCTCTTGATTAGGCTATCCTGGTAATGCTTCAATACAAAGGCTGAGTCTACAACAAACTTTGCCCCATTGCATGTTTTGTGGATCTCCTCAATCCTTTGATATACTCCATGGTCAGCAATGGAACTGTCATGTCAGGCCCCAGGACAGTTGTGCACTGCAATCCTGATTCTACCATCTGGGGCAAACAAAAACACTGTGAACAAAGGTTTTTCCTTCCAAGCACTGTAGAAGGCTTTTTGTTTTTACCAGTCCTGTGACTGTTATATTACACTCTTAAGCCCATCAGCAGCACCCCAAATGTGTTGTTCTCCAAGCTCAGTTGGAACACTCACCATGGCATCTGGGTGTTTCTTGTGAAGGAAGCAAGCATCACTCTCTGTGAAAACTTGAGCCACTGGTACATCACTGTGGATGTCACCAACCCAAATCCCATTGCCATTGACCTTGCTACAGATCCTCGTGTCCTGTACCAATACAAGGCCAATCCAATAGCACAGACTGCATTGACCTCCCTTTTCTTCCCTTTGGGCTTCCCACTGCTTGGATAGTACTAACATGGAACTTCCACAATTTCATTGTTGTTGTTGACAGTGGACTTGTTGTATACTGGAGCAAATAGGTCAGCAACAAGCTCCCTCCTGAAGAAACAATTAGCCGCATGCAGAGACAACACTTTCCTCCAAGCAAGAAAGAAAGCTACATCAACAATGGGCGTAGTGGAGGTCATCAGTATGTACTGGTACCTCCAGTTGAACACAGAGGAGCAGCACAGAAGTTACAGAAACAAACTATCTCCAGAAGAGAGATGTTGGAGGGACAGCAGGAGAACCCCAAGAAGGCTTGCAATCTGGAGATATGCTGATTCCCCTTTCATGTATCTCTTCCACTCAGGGGATGACCAAGCACTCCTCAACTGCTGTGGTGTAGTAGTTTCTAGCATGAGGAATGCACCACATATTTTCTGATTTGAGAGTATCAAAAATATGCAGAAAATATGTGCATTCCCTCCTCCACTAGTACTAGAGTATTGATTCAAAAATTTGTGTTTTTCTTTGTACTAAGAAGTGGCACCAATTTTAAGTCTTTTTAGTTTTTATGTTGGAGAAAAATTAAGATTCCAAATTCCAACAAAAGACAGGCATTGAGCCGTCATCCCTCTCAGTCTGTCCATTGAATTTGTTATTCCAGTTATTACTAGTAGTACCATATAAGTAATAAAAGTGCTAAATTTACCAGATTAGCACAAATTAACGGGAATCGCCCTTTCTGTAAATGGGTGATTCCCGTAAACATAGATTTAAGTAAAATCGTATTAGACTTCAGACGTGCACATATAGAAGTATGTGTTTTTGACACAGATACATAGATCTTTGGTTCAGACAGGCTCTCGACAATCAGAAGTATGCAAGAAGAAAAACATACTTTTTTTGGAATCCTCGATTCAAAAATTCTTAAGTCACGGGTTCTCAATTCTAAGTGTTTTTGATGCGCTCGCTGGCACCATGTGCTCTCAATTTTTGGCGCTTGCTGGCACCAGAATGCAAAATTCCCTATTCCATATTAAGCACATTCTTTCACCAGACTTAGTCTATGACACCCAAATCTATGTAGTTACATTTTTATTCCCTCCTTAAGTCATAGATGCGATTTATGTCAGCATAGATTTTTTGTTTATGGGAATCACCCAATTACTGCAATCAATCGAGACATGCATGCCGAACGAACTTGGAAGTTGATTGATTCGCAGCGTTCCACTGCCTCCACGGTACTACTACTAAGTACTAGAGCTATCAATGGAATGCTAGTATGGTCCGTACCTACTACCAGTACACAGTACAGTACTTGCGTTATTATTCATGAGAAGTGAGACAACTGATTCGTAGCTGTAACGCATCGTTGCTACAATTACAATGTGTTGATCAAGTACGAGTACTTACTACTTTTCGACTTCAATTCTTTGAGAACATCATCTTATCACCAGCCTCTCTGCGGTGTCTTGTTATTGCATGGGTTTCAACCAAAAGGCGGAAAGATCATGAGTGCAGACTATTCCAAGTCAAACGTAAAAGTGATGAAATCCAAGCTTTTGTCGTGCATGAAACTAGGGGCTGCTGATGATCTTGCGGTGAACGAAAAACTAGAGGAATGGGTAGCCACCCAAAAGATTCCCACCCATATATCTCCAGCTCAAACCGCTGCATGCCATGTATCATCCGGTTTGCTTCTTCAAAGATTAGTTCGTGCATTCGAGCAAAGACTGAACTTTTCAGTAGATGATACCAAAAGGATGAAGGGTTCCACCGGGAATAGCAATGGCAACAAGACCGCAACATCTAGCGGTCGAGGAACATCAACGACGAATGGAAGCAGTCCCAAAAAGATAAATACTTCAAAAGCGAAGTCGAAATCGAAACCTCTGGCAGAGTATATGCAACGTAAGGTCAAGGTAACCCGGTTAGTTCAACAAGCACTTCAATACGTTGGTAGCGACCTGTTGAAGGTTCTTCAAGGTTTGGCTCCTTCACCAACAGTCGCGGATGTTGCGAATACATGTCTACAGATTTTAAGAGATGTCAATAGAATCAAGGAGTTTTACACGATTTTCTGTGTCGCTTCGGGAAAAGATCATTCTGCGACAGATCAATCATCCTCGATATTCTTTGGTGTTTTTGCTCTTCAAGCCTTGCAATGCTTGAGGGCGCAGGCCATTTGCGCCTATGAGTTTGCACACGATTTTGAAGCGATCTATAGTGCGTGCTACCAGGATCGGAATTTTCAGATTTGTGTCCACTTGCTTAACCCTGCCGTCGCAAACTCTCCGACCCCTGCTACATTTCCACCAGATACCGAGGCTCGCAATATTTGCTGGAAGATTGCAAGATTGCTCGTTCTGACTGAAGATTTCAAGAATAAATCCGACCCTGAATCGAAGGACCACCGTAGAAACCATATCCTTGTGTCGGCAACAAGCATCATTCTTGCAGCAAATATGGGAAAATCAATTGCGAACAACAGCATCCGAGTCGTTGGCTCTCAGGTCACAAACGAAGGAATAATTCCTATTACTGAAGATTTTGTAGGTACGGTTGTGCCTCCTGTATCTCACTTGTTGGAATTCATTGCCAACAACACAACAAATAATGATGGTATGACACCGATAACCTCGATCGATATCAGATGTCATTTTCAGAACGCCTGCACAATGATCAACAAACTTTCAATAATGAAAAATGCAACGACAACAGTAGTTGCCTCGCGTGGTCGATCCCACTCAATCTTAGCGAAGGCTTTCCCGCCCGCCAACGAGTATTTCCTTCTTCAGAACTATAGAAACATTCTGCAAAGTCTTGTCATACAGACCCAAAAGTCTATCAAAATCAATACTGCGAATAGTAACCAGGGGGTGACTGGTGTCAGCGAAAGAACAGGTATTGTCAATGTTCTTTTGCTATTTCCTATGGTCATTGGTGAGCCATGGGGAATTCATCGCGATGCGCCAATGATAACGAGCAGAATGCTATGTACAGGGAAACATTTGAAGCCATCAGATACTGAGAAGGACTCGGTAGCTTTGGTGGTCAAGTTAAAGCCTATGCCTAAGGAGATAAAGAGAAAAGCTGAGAATACTTTTCCCGACTCGGTTCCAACCGACAATAAAAAGGCAAAAACGTTTCCGCAATCGGAAGATCCAAGCACACCTCCTAAAAAGGCTCATGTCGAAGCGATTGACCTTGTTGAAGATGACTCGCCTACGCCGGCCCCAAGGGCGCCTATCGATATGAGAATGGGAGAAATCGAAGCTCCGGTTATAAACGATGCCACAGAATTGAATGAGTGGACCCTATCAATTATATCACAGTCAATGGTCAAACCCAGCGATATGTTACTATCATACCTTGGGGAAAACGACAAGATCAATGGTAACAATTCTTCTTGCTTAGAAAATGTGATAGTTCCTATCATTAATCGTGGGGCTCTGCGCATTCAAAGTGCCTTACGGTCTCTGAGTGATCTTGGTTCGGAAGCGACATTAATATCAATTGGCAGGAGAGATGGACAAGTTTACGTAAACGGTCGAATCGACGAAATCACTCAGCTTTGTGCCTCGGTTGTCGGATTTTACTACCATTGCATGGAGGCTATTATTTATGACAAGATGGAAAGAATGGATTTTTTGGGTTCCTTCAGCTCTGTGCTTCAAAGTGAATCCTTTCATAGAGCTCTTTTAGCATGCTGCCTTACATGTGTACTGAAAGGTGTCGGAACAACCCAAAAAATGTCATCCATCGAGAAATTCGAAAATGCGACTTCTACAGTTGTAATGAACACGACTGAGTGTGACTCGTTTACGTTTCTGAAGGTCATCGATGGACTAAGCAGAGCTCTTATTGCCACCGGGGATTCAAGGACAAAACAGAGTGTATGTTCAATTGTTGCTGGGCTACCTGCAATAATTTTGCGACACATGCGAGCACTTCAAACACAACTTATCGACTCGGCAATTTGGAACAGTTCACTGGGCACCGAGAAGCGAAATGAATCATCATTTGTCGATATTATCAAGACCATGAAGAGTCTGAAAGGGGCTTGGCCTCCGGATGTTTTAGAACCTCTGCTACCGGAGGAAAATGTAAATATGGAGAGCAACTCAACGAAAGCAAAAAGTAGCATTCGATGCAAGGCTCCCTTTGGCTCTTCTTCAGAAGCTACCTTTTTGTCATTTGTCTTGCGTATATTGTTGAACTATGTGTTGAAACGAATAACGGCAATATGTGCAGCTCTTGATCTTTCGACAGAGGATGTTGTGCGCACTCAAATTCTGGTCGCCTTCCGCTATCTTTTACGTCATCATATCTCCATCTTCAATGATAGACATGTGGATCAACTGCTACTATGCTCAGTCTATGGGGTATGTAGGGTGATGAAAATTCGACCCGAAGTAACATTTGGGAAAATAATCGATGCTTATTTCACTGTAAGAGGAAAAGAGCAGGGTGAGCGTATTTGTCGAGTAATTGTTCGACACGTCAAATTAGATCAACCCGCTTCCAAGCGTGTCGGAAATCTTATTGTCTTCTATAATCAGGTATACGTCCCAAAAATGCAGAAATACTTCATTGAGAGCAAATCCTTAAAAGAAAACACAGAATTGTATCGGAATAAGCGGAGGAAGGCTGAAGAGTTAGAAGAGTTGCAAAGAAGAGAACAAGAACGGAATAAAGCAGAAGAACGGCAAAGAAAAGAACAGCAGCGGAAAGAAGCAGAAGAGCGGCAAAGAAAAGAACAGCAGCGGAAAGAAGCAGAAGAGCGGCAAAGAAAAGAACAGCAGCGGAAAGAAGTAGAAGAGCGGCAAAGAAAAAAACATCAGCGGAAAGTAGCAGAAGAGTTACAAAGAAAAGAAAAAGAGCGAAAGGAAGCAGAAGAGCGGCAAAGAAAAGAAAAAGAGCGGAAGAAAACTGAAGAGTTGCAAAGAAAAGAAAACGAGAGAAAGAAAACTGAAGGGTTACAAAGAGAAGAAAACGAGAAAAAGATATCAGCAGAGTTGTCAAGAAAAGAGAACGAGCAAAAGAAAACTGAAGAATCCCAAAGAGAAGAAAATGAGAAAAAGGCAGCAGCAAAGTTGCAAAGAAAAAAGAACGAGCGAGATAAAACCGAGGAGTTGCAAGGAACAGAGAAGATGAGTGTAATGAATGAAATTACCAAGGATGTCTCAGAGAAATCTCCTGCTACTACTTCTCCTAAGTTGCAGTCAATTAATCGGAAGATCGTTGCGATGGACAAAACTGTATCTGATGCTCAAGCGATGCTGGCAAAGGGTATGATTCGAGTTTCTTCGGTCGAAAACAATGTACCTAGTCCAATAATGAACTCTGACGTACAAAATTCAACGAAAACTAATGGGAAAGCTTCTTCCGACATTACTATTTCCGCCGTGCGCAAAGGATGTCTCTCGGCGAAAACAGTGGTTCCTAGTAATAAGGTACAAAATGCAGTAGTCGAGGGTTCATACGCAGATGCTACAAGAACTAATGCTTCAACTAATCCCGTTTCTTCGGAACCTGCGGAAAAGATATCAGATATAGATCGAGACGATCCCAAATTGACCAAAGGCACAGTTGTCATGAGTGACTCAAGTTCAAACGACCCAAGGTTGCCTGAAAACAGGGCATCCGGATCATCTGAGTCAGAAGAATACATTCCAAAAGGAATGGGCAGCAAAATAATGGGTAGGACAACCTCGACTCTTCCGAATCCAAATTCTATTCTTGCAGGGGTGAGTAAAGGTTTACAAAGTTTGGTGACTGGGAGGCTAGCTCAAGGGTCCAGCTCAGATGAGAAAACTCTCTCAAGCGCCTCGGAGAAAATTTCTTGAAGGGGAAAAGCTGGCAGCGATAACCCAATCCCGATGGATTTGGATTAAAATGAAGAGGCTGATATCTCTGGGAGAAAGCTTTTAGGTGCGTTAGTTTGTTATTTCAAGGCAGTGGTAGATGTTGCACTTGAAAAGAAGGAAACAAAAGCACTTTAATCAAATTGATCGAACATGGGTGACAGGTGATACTGAAGCAAAAGCTGATACTGAGTGATACAGTATTGAAAAATGTAACGATTACGTCACAGGGAAAGCATAAGCAAACAAATTGCAAGATCATAATTGTATCGATGTTAATTTTCAAAGCCCTATTTCATTGCAATTTGCAAATCAAGTACTATTGATGAACAATTGTGAGAGCCTGTCTTGATTGAGCTTGAGGGGAAATAGAACCTACTTGTACTGATCTCTTCCTAGACAAAAATGTTTAGAATCGCTTCTGACAATAATTAGACAGCCTATTTTGAAAATGACAAACATTGATCATCTATTGAGAAATAGTCAATAATGGCATTTAAATTCTTTTCCTGGTAATTGTAATAAAATACTGTATGGTGAGTACTTGGCATCTGCTGAATAGGCACTGATCTCTCACACAAACAGTGATCATGCAACACTGTTTGGTAAGGTGTAGAATCTCGTACAAATCATAATAGGCTATTGAGTAGTAGAAGTATTACTAGTAGTAATTAATGTAACATTGTCATGCAACTTGTTGTAGTACTACTACCCATTTAGGTGTTACGAATCGCGCAACAGCTTTTTCCCTCTAGTAGTTTCTCTACACAGATCTGCAACAATGAAGAACATCCAAGGAGTAAGTGATAAGAAGCAACAACACCCTTGTACCACCAGGATGTCCTTGTTCTTCCTCTTTTTGGGCATCACCATGATGATGAACACCAAGACTGGTGCAATAATTGTTTTCTTTGTTGGGTGCTAAAGTGGTGCTACTAGTACTAGTAGTAGCTACTAGAACTACTATCAGAACATTGTTGGAAAAATGGGGACAATTTAATTTAAAACTACAAGACCTCAGTGATACTATCAAGATTCCAAACATTAACTCATAATGTTAATTCTGACATTGGGTGATTCCTTTTACTATTACAGAATTACTAAATTTCATAGACTGACAGAACTAAAATGGATTACATGTGGTCATAGATTTAGCATTTTTGGAATGGGCCAAAGACCCCATTCAAAAATTGTTATTACAGAACCCAGCAGGAATAAAATTTTGACTCAACATAAAGGGAGGCCTTTCAAAGTTAAGAGTCGGTTTCCAGAAATTAAGACTGGGTTTTCTTAGACAACAAGAACAGCAACAAGAGGCGCCTCCATTAAGCATGGCATCACAGAAAGGACAAAGAATTTCCAACAAGGTGTTCTTAGTCAGTACATTTTATGTCCTGGACTCTATTTGTTGCAGCAAAGAGAACAGCAGGGGTAGGAGGAGGTTGGCAACAGCAAAGAAGGAGCTTGTTCTTGGTATCCTCCTTGCTTGATCTTGCATAATATATTCTAGAGTTGGTGCCCAAATGTACTACCCGAGTAAAATAGTCAAGCACACCTACTACTGACATCATGAAATCTTGTCCACATACACCATTTTTCCTATAGAATGTTGTCTTGATGTCAATCAAGGTGTCAGAAATGCATTCTTGATGAATATATTGACCTAAAATGTTGCACCAATTCTGCTTCATGATGTTGGTAGCAGGAAGGCAACTTGTTGTCAGTTGTCGGAGACAGAGGAGTTCTCACAACCATGTGCTGAAGCTATGTGACAATCTTCTTGTTGCAACAACATCAACAACAACATCAACATCATCAACATCATCAACATCATCAACATGAACAACATGAACAACATGAACAACATCATGAACAACATCATGAACAACATCATGAACAACATCATGAACAACATCATGAACAACATCATGAACAACATCATGAACAACA